TCAACCCAACCGGCGAAGCGGGTTCGGCTGGCCGACACGTCGCCCAGACAGCTGCACTGTGGATGCCAATCCGAAACCAAGGAATTTGCGGAAAAATCGAATCAGAAAGCAACAACTTTCTGAACGGTGGCGCGAAATCCTGGTAGGGTGGGGGGGGGGGGTTGGCTGAGCACGAAATGGATTTCGCAATCATCCACGGTAGCGTGGGGGGGTTGGCTGACCTAGGCCCATCCAAGGCGCGATCGCCAGAGCATAGCTCGAGGGATGCTCGTCCTCTATGGTGATTGTCACACCTCGCGATGCACAAATCCATGGGGAGAATTCGCTTGTGAGACCCAAGTAGGCCATGACTAGCACTTCAACGGGGAGTCCCTTGGTATAGCAGAACTCGGTACCAGGTTTTCGCCACCACGTCCCGATCAAATCCGTGAAGGGTGGTCCAAATTGCCAAGTGCCATAGGCATATATCAAAGCCCGAAAGATCTTCAGCAAAACGTGCGAATGGCTTTGTGAGCAGTGTAGGCCAGCAACAAATTTGAGCGCATCCTTCTTTCCACCTGACAAGGCAAACTTTGGTCGCTGAGATTGGACGCGCGTGTGTAAGGTTGCTATTTGGGTATGGGTCAAAATCAAACCACCAGGGCAGCGCAGGTTTTAGTCCATGTGTCCATTTACCAGGGTTCCATTTTGGGTACCTATTTTTGACCCACGGCCATTTGATCACTTCCTTCGAGAGCCAACTACGTTCCCCAATTGCTAAGAAAGCCAAAAATCGGAATTCACGCCCAGTCTACGGAATCCTCGCCACGTGCGGAAACAAGCGGGCGGCATTGCGGCCACCCCGGTGCATTGCTGGTTGCGGCTGTGCTCGAATAAACTTCACTTGCCTGGGTTTTCATGGGAGGGACAACACGAAGGCACTCCCAATTCCGGTTGGAGTATCTTGTTCCACACGTTTTTTTGGAAACTTCCGCCGGACGGGCATGGTGACTTCCAGGCTTGCCAACCCCCCCCCCCCCCAAGCCCCCAAAGCCGCCCAAAGTGACAACAAAGCATGGTGTGTCCCTCACTTCCTAGGTGAAACCTTTGCCACTAAAAAGGTCTTCTTTAAACCATCACCCCAAGTGAAACCTTTCGTGATGCTTACCCTCCCTCCAATCATAGGAGCCGACAATCGGAGCACTTAGATGGCACAATTCCCTTTATACGTGTAGTAGAGGTAAAAAGACAAACAGAGTTCCGTATATGTCCGCTTTAAGCATCACTGCAACAAAAGGAAACTCAATTAAAGTTGGCCACAGGGGATGTTTACACTTCACCAAAGGGCGGGACATGAAGTGAGACATAATCAAAACATGGTACCAAAATACCCGGGAACCATGTCAAGAGTTACCAAGGCGTCCGCACCCATTTCTTGTTGGGACTGTCCCTTACTAACCTTCAACTACCCGAATTTTCAGGATGGCCAAACATGGGGGTTGGTCAAAAGGTCCTCTACATGGGATGACCAGAAAGGAAACCACCAAAGTAGAAGACTCTCACCACGTGGGGAAAAGTTACTCATGGTCATTGTGGGGTCGGCCCGAGAATTCTCCCCGTTGCACGTTCGGATCTTCGTCGAGGTCGATTGCACCAAGCGGCTGTTCATGCCCGGTCTCAGGCCAGCTGAGACGTCCTTGGGGACCTGAGTCTGAAAGCGATGGGCGATGACATAGGTGGGCTCTTGGGGAAAGTGCGGGTTTTTCGAAATAGACTGGTTTAGATGGGAAGGAGAAATAGAATGACCCCAAGATACACCATCCAACCATAGGTGGCCTTTAGAAAATAGAAGGCCCTGGTAAATGGAATAAACTCCATCTAAACCAGTGCCAGGTATTCTTCACCAAGCAAACCTAAAGACACCTATTGGCAATGGAGCAGAGGGCCGAGGTAAAGCGACGAAAGCGGTTGGTACCCAACCCCCCCAACCCCCCCCCCCCCGTGGAAACGAAAGGTGCCTTGAGAAAAAATGGTCGGATATACCTTGTTTGTAGTTGCCTTCGTTCAGTGGGAGCAAACTTTAAACTGGACCAGGGGGTGGTTACACAAATCTTGGTCGCCCAACTGTGGTGTCAACAAAATGCATGGCCCTGCGCCCTTCCGGCCCTGAAAGTCTCAACTGCAGTGCAATATGTGGATCCAAAAGAATCTCAAGTCAAGAGGAGAAGACCTGGCAACTTGACACCGACTCAAGAGTCTATTGGAAGTTTGTCATCTAGGTCCTCCAGCAGAGGGGTTAGAATATGGGTACCCACTTTTTTCTTTTTTTGTCCATGTTAGTAGGGGAACCCTCCCCCAAAAAAGTTGGTAAGAGGCCACTACTGGGGGACCTAGTCATACTTCCCCGAAAGACTCATCTACAAGGCACAGGTCCGGCCCCAGCAGAGCCTAGGCGGAGCCACCCTGACTTGCCCGAAGAGAGGACCGAGCGATCAGTCCAGCTACCGAGTTTTCCGGGCAATTAAACACAGGGTACTGCAAGTAAGGTATTTTCATGGCCTGTTCAAACAACATAGAGATATAGGGGCATGTTCAACGTCTGGGTCTGAGCTTAATTTGAACATCTCCCGCGTTTCAATTCTAGCGCAATCATGACCCCGACCCCAACAACAAAACTGCGGCCAGTTTGTTGCTTTGACGCGGTCCCGGCAAAAACGGGGGTTTCAGAGTAAGGCTCACCAAAACCTGAGACACACCTGTGTTCTTCTCTCCTTGGCGCCTTTGACTGTTTGAGCTCTCTACGTCCCCTTACGCGCATTTCTGCTGAGCTGTGCTAAGCCCTGGTTTTGGAGCTCATACCAATCAAAGCCAGGTGAAAAGCCACGGAGAAGGCATCGAAAGTCCCCCCCCTTCGCCGGGAGTTGTGTTCATTCGTTTCAAGGGATCGGAGAAACGAGCTTCTTCTCCAAGCGACAACTCTTCAAGTGAAGTGTGGATCCTTTCTGAAAATTTACGTTTGCACAGAATGACTATCAAGGAATTTCCTCCGAATCAACCCAAGGAATACTAGACTCGCCACTAGGCCAGGTAAAAGCCTTTACTAAAATTGCAACCAAGAGGAACTGGTTGCCGCTCACATGTCTGAGAAGCCCAGTCAATCGAAAACAAGGGCGCGGCTGGGCAACTGGAGGACATTTTAGGCCCAAAAACCGAATCCGACGGCCTCTGGGCATTCGAATCCACGCCACTCCAATCAAGTCGGGGCAGTGCCTGGACGTCAAATCCGCAACGCTCCAAATGAGCCACGGTCATATGCGGTTCATTGCGAAAACTTAGAGAGTCCAACGTACTGGATTCCAAAGAGGGGGCCCGTCCCCCAAGTTGTTCTGCGAATGTGAGCTGTCCCCCAACGTCTTCCCCAAGCCAACAGTAGAGTACCAATAATTATCTATGCCGAGGAGCAGACGCTGAACACATTGTGATACCCAGTTGGTTGTTCTCAACATGTTCAAAAGAATAGGACACGCCTCTTGTTTACATTGTACGAACTCATCCATGTGAGCAAGCAACAGCTGAGTGGCGCTGAGCATATGTGCTGCCTGTGCCTTGCACCATTCCAGCGCGCCGGTGACAAGTTTCGAATTGGCATTGCACTGCCCCTCTCCCCTGGGCAGAACAAGATCTCATTCATTTCAAGCATCAAGCAACACACGTTGTGAGCGGGTTTCATAGCTTCAAACATGTAACCACTGGTTGATGACGGATCAAACACGTTGCGAGAACCAACGGTGAAATTCTCAGATCAGAAGTCCGACGTGCGTGAGCTCCGCAGTTGCTCCCCCGCATTGCAGAGGGAGCAAAGGATCTGTACATGGCCTCACTCAGAAACATGTCTGGATGAAATATACATATATATATATATATGTACACACCCAAATCGCCAACCTATTCTCAACTTGATCTGGTGTCCGATGGGCGGTGTTCCCCAGGGAACCTTCATGAAACAAGGGTAAGGCCGGTGCTTCGGCAACACAGTTCGCCCAAACGGGAATTTCGAGTCTTGGGAGGTCTTTCCGCGCTCTGCCTGTCCTGACGTCCTGACTCTCCGCACATCATCTTGCCTTCAGCGTGTGGCAACCTGTGCGCAGCGAAGCCGACGCTTGGTGCCCCAAATTTGCAGCCATGGGCTCTGCGTGGCGTCAGCTTCCGTGCTCCTCGACTCGTCGACTCATCGACCTCGCGATTTTCTGACCGTCAGCCAACCGTCCGCTGGCCATCGCAAGTCCCCCAAACAAGCGGCAGGCGCCGAAGCGAGCCGCCCCCGCTTCGGCGCAGGCTCGGAAAATGCCTGCCGGAAGCAGTTGCGTGGCTTCAGGGTTCGGGCTGCGGCGCAGCTTGGAGTTTTGAGATTGTTGTTCGATGACTTCATGGGAATTCGACCAAAATAGGACCCAAAAGTGAGAAGCAAGGGGGATAGACTCAAGAGGCGGCACAAATCCTGACTCCTGTGCCGTCGCATCCGCACAGTCTCATGGGTGCCGTGTTGATCCTGGAGGCGACGTGAGCAGCACCCAAGGGGCACAACTGGTGCATTTGATCAAGAGGGTCGGCAACATCACCCCTTCGGAGCATCTGTTCCGCTGGTTTTTTGCCGGTCAGCTGACTTTCCCCATCAGAAGCCCCCATGATTCCTCTGGCACCTGAAAGGAAACCCTGAGCACGCAAACTGCCACCATGTCAGAACTCCCATTGACCATAAAAGATTCGAAGGCAAAAGAGACCTCCAAATGCATCACCTCTCCCATTCATGACAAGACGTCGGTGGATGCCCGGCATCAGACCTCAATTTAGGTGTATGTCAACATGGGGCTATTCCCCCCCCTCCCCCCCCAAAACACAAAAAAGGACCCACCAACAAAAAAAACTACAAAAACGGGTAGCTTCACCAACACACCTCCCAGCCCCCGGCTTTCCCGCGCATTTTGCGGCGCCGCGGCATCGCGGCGAGTTCCTCATCGCTCCTAGGCAGCCCCCAGCTCCCGTTGCCCCACACTCGGGCTCCGCGCATCGCGGCGGACGTGACCTTCCTCGGGCGGCTCTATTCTGAAGACCTCAGATTCGGTTGCGACCCCCAAAACCTCAACTAGGTCCTCCAGTGAGGATAGAATAAGGGTACCCACCTTTTTCTGCCAATTTCGTAGAGGAACCCTCCCCCAAACAAGTCCGTAAAAGGGCACTACTGAAAAACCTAGTCAAGGGCACCATGTTTAAAAAAAGGGAGACTTGGAAGCCGGTTTAGAGCGGAGTCTTCTGCTTCCGGGCGGTTCAAATTGGAGGCTTGGCCAATCCGATGTCTCATCCCGGGAAGCCACTACAACCTTGCGTAACCGAAGGTGAGGATTAAGGATCACCTGTTAACAGCCCAGACTTTTTGCGCGGGGCACCCAGCAAGCCTTAAAAAATCCCACCAAGCCCAAAGTCCGTGCCCCTTCAAGACGCGCCTTTCGCATCAGGACTGTCAGGGTTCCTAGAGAAATCCACCCGGGCATCCGCTCCTAAAGCAGGCAGGTGGTTTCTTTCACTGGCGGTGAACTCTTTCAACAAATGCGTCTTTCATCTGCCACGGTGTGCTCCAACCATTGACATCCACGGGTTTTCTAGAATCTTTGAAAGCCAATCCACAGTCAAAGGACCTTCACGAGCTAGTCTTACTCCTGAACCGGCGGCGAAAGCCAGATTGTCCCATGTTCACCACGGGAGCATGTTGCAGCTGAGTCTTGTGCTGCGCGTGCTTCCAGCAAGGCGTGAGTCAAGTGAAGAAACTCTCAAGTTGCGAAGTGAGCATAGGTGATCTGTTGCGAAAGTAGATGGCCCTGGTAGATTATGGAACGACTAAACGTCAGCCAAAAACTTCCGTGTTATCTATGTCAACTAGGTCAAACACTAGGTCAACAAATGTCATCTATGTACCAAAACTTCCCTATGGCGACTAAAATCAATCCGAACCAGAGGAACCCATGTTGCAAACCACCAAAAAGGGCCAGCTATGGCTCTGAGCCGAGTTTGGATGGCTCCGAAGTTGCGGGAAACGGGTCCATCCAACTGCCAAGGAGCCTGGGACAGGTGAACACCGGTGACGGGACCGGGAAGCCAAGGCTTTGATTGGCGGAGCTTTCAGTGTGTGGAGCCCGTTTTCGAGCCCTTTTCAGGTTGGTCTGAAAGGGAGACCAAAATGGCCATGGGTCAAATCCCCACTAAAATAGACTAAAATGGGTGGCACCTACCCCAAAATGGTACCATTGGTTTTGACCCACAGCCACATGGTCACCAGCCAGATTTCGGGCTTCCCCATGAGACCTGCCGCCCGTCCTTCTCCTCACGTCACACTCAAAGAGTAGGCCAAGAGCCTTTGGGTTAAACCAACGGGGACATAGGGGGGGGGGGGGTCTCAAAATGGTAGACGCCCTTTTAGAAACCAAAAGGCGACACTTTCACCACTTTAGCAAATACGTCGCCAAAACCTATTTTGAGAAACCCACATGGAAAGAGATTCGCTGGGTCCAGAAAAATGACATCCTCAAACAAGTACCCTCCAAATTGAGGTTTGGGCAGAAAAAACAATGCCATATGCAACTGTCCTTTGCCCCAATAGGCAAGAGTCTGACAACGCATTACCCTTGTAGGAACTCACGGGAATGACCGAGACAGGGTGTTGGAATGAACCGGAAGGCGATTCCCTCGAATGAAATCACCGGGCATGGTTTATAGGGGTCGTGCCCTCATTCCCTGCTGAGTACCAGCAAGGAATCTAAACTGGGCTGGCCGTTCTCTGATCCCCAAGTGACTGACTTGTGGATAACCTCGGAAACCATATTCCCCCACCCTTCCCCAACGAGAAAAAAGAAAAAAAAATAACTCGGACACCGAGCCCCGCCCATCAAAAAAAAACGGGGGGAAGAAAAAAGAAAAAAAAACAAAAAGCCGCGCCCAACAAGCGCGAGGCCGAACGAAAAAAATTCCGATGGCCGCGCGGAAGCTGCGGGGAAATTTCCGCGCCGCGCCTCCGCGCCGTTGGCCACCATGATGAACCTGGTGGGCCACACCTGGACGAGGCTTGACATGGCTGGCTGGCTGCGCACGATCGAGACCGGGGCTCCCGTTTCAGGTCCAAGGGGAAAAGAAAAAAGCGGAAGGTACACCCCGTGCTCCTGGGGGTTTTGTTTTTTTTCTTCTTCCCTTTGGGTAAAAATTAGAGAAACCTGAGGACTGGCGCCAAGATGAGCACGGCTTTGAGAAAGTGAGACAAAGCAATTCTAGAGCTGCGTTGCGCCAAGCCCAATGGGTCCTTTCTCAGAGGCCACGTATGTATTGCTTTGAACTGGAACTCAAAGCAGACCACACCATTTTCGGGGGGGGTCTTCGTGTTTGATTTTTGTCACATGCGTCTTTCATTTTGTAAGGTTGGACCCAAAAACAAATGTTCCTGTTGGTGTCCCTTGAAAACCACCAAACAAGGCAGTACCCCCCAAAAAAAAAAACACCATGGGTACGAAGAAGCATCCTCCCCAATTTTCAGTAGGCGATCCGAATGAACGAGCCCAGCGGAGCTCACAAGTCGCGCCGGGCCGGCCAATCAAAGGCTCGCCATCCAAAGTTTCTGCGAGTTGCTCTCCACTCCCAGCTGGTGCGCCAGGTGCGCCAACCGGCCATCCCCGGGCGCATCGCCTGCGCATGGCCCAAGTTGGCCGAAGTTCTCCTCGGCCGCGACCCGAATGAACTTGACAAGCTCTTGCGTGCAAGTGCTGGTCTCCGTCCGCGGCAGCAGTCGCTTGGGCCGGCTCTTGGAGAAAAACACCGGTCACCTGGCACTCATTGTGGTCCACCCAAAACCCCATGGCATGTGGTCTACCCAAAACTCAGGGCAAGGAATTCAAAGCCCGGATCTCAATGGCCGGGACAGCTCTCAGCTTCCGGTACCTGGGTTGTGACTGTGGCTCCAATGGGGGGGGCACTGAAACCGCGGCTCAGGCCCTGGTTCCCTTTTGAGTGGAAAATCGAAGGATGCGCTGAAAAAGCAGTGCTTGACTCGAGCAGTTGCCCCTTCAGCGACCCAGCAATAACAGGTTATCACCTTTTGGGGGTACTAAGAATGGGAATCCAAACATGGGAAAACCAAAAGGTCAGATCCGGTCGATTAAACGAGTATCATTTGAGCGCCTGGGTGGTGAGGTCGCTGTTCACCTTGATGCACCTGCAACAAGTGCAACCGGGGCCTCAAACTGCAAGCTGACAAGGGCAAAAGGGAACCACCAACCCCCAGGGTTGGGCTTTTTTCGTACAGACACTGGTCAGAGGCAAAAGAAGAATGCCCCCCCGCCCCGCCTCAGGCAAAAGTCCATTGCTGGTTTGAACATGTGCAAAGAGGGGGTTCGCCCAGGTTCCGTACTTAGACGGTCAGGTGATCGCAAAACGGGTAGTAACCCTCCTGGTGAAGGTTCAAAGGGGGAAGGGGTGAACTGGAGACAAACTGGGAGTTTGCACTTGGCTCCCAGACCATCTGAGACATTTGCCAGGGTGAATCGTCATACTCGCCGACCAAGTCTTTGTTGCGTGCGCTATGAAGCCGGGTGATGTTTCAGTAATCCTTTTGAGATCCACAAGGCCCCCTCAAAAGCGCCGAAGACCACATCAATAACACCGAAAACGCCCCCATCCCCCGAGCTGTTTGGGGTCTGTCGAAAACCCCTTTGGAATTGAAAGGGAACCATACGAAACATTTGTGGAAACTAACAAAAACGCGTGGTTGGGGGGAGGTCGGTCAGCACCTGTTGGCGGTTCATCCAAGTTTTAATAGGGGTTCATCCGTGGATTTTGTAGAAACCCACACCCGCACTTGTAGGATGGAACCGCGCGCCTGATGAAAATGCTCTGCTCCTCCTTTCGCCAAGCCCTGGACGGAAAGGGGACATGGCATGGCAAAAAGTCAGGGGGGAGAAATCTGGGCGTTGCTCACAATAGGGGGCCCAAAAAATGGCGGTTTCCTATTCTGCCGTCCAAGTAAACCAAGGTGAAAAGAGTAAACTCGCAAAGGTTTGAACTCCTTGGGCTTGGTGAACCATCCATTTCTTTTCAGGATGTTCCCAATTGATTGCCGCAGCCCCTGAAAAGGGGCGGTTTTGGTTGTCACAGTGCCTGACCACTTGAAATGAAGGCGGCACAAAAAGATGCCATGATGTTCACGTTCACTGTTCCCTTGGTCTTTTTGTGACAACCGACCATCTCTAAGAACCCCAAGTCAACCATGGCACAAGGCTGAATATCTCCCACGAGGTTTCTGGTGCAGGCTGAAGCTGAAAGTTTTCCCAAAGGAAACATGGTGGAAAGACCTGAATGCGAATAGCTTTGGTCGAATCAATGCGCCAAAGATGCAACCATGGAACGAATATTGACACTGGGGAAGATGACACGCCTTCCCCTTTGTGTGGTTAAGCAAAGGGAATGAAGCCAACATGGGGGCAGGTTGTGCCATACTGTGCCAATTACCCCAGCTGCATCCATGTTGTTGGCCTCGTTCTTTTGCTCTGACACAGCCACCATCTTCGCTTCTACGGATGTTCTGATCCAGGCAAGAACACGATGATAGGTCCTCCAGTAGAGAGGTTAGAATAAGGGTACCCTTTTTGTCTATTTTTAGTAGGGGAACCCTCCCCCAAAAAAGGGTAGAAAGGCACTACTGGGGGACCTAGTCATCCTGCGACCGGCAGGTCTGTTGATCACCCCAGCCGGTCCCCGGCATGGCAGTGATGCCGCAGGACGCTTCATTACTAAAAGAGGCACCAGCCCATGAGCGGAAGAACAAAAAGCAAAACGGACATGCTCAGGGCTGCCGGACAACGCAATGAGCCGCGTGCAAAAGCGAGGCGCATGCCTTCCGTTTTAAACCGCAGGACATGCCATGTCCAAACGCTGGACTTGGGATTGATGGAAACAAAACTGGTTGCAACCAAAAGGCCGTCGACTGGAGCTACATATGTGGTAAACCAAATAGACACAGAAACTGAGTGAGTCGTTCAACTCTTGCGGTTGAAATTGAATGGCTCTCCCCTTGCCCGGAGCCCGAAATTCACCCGGAAACTTCCGACGACCAAACCTCATGTAGCATCCTGTCTTGAGAGGCCCCCATTTTGGGTTGGTTTTTGCAAGTGGAAAGGGGAAAACAACAAAAATGCCCATTTGAGAAACCCCTTGTCCAGTGATCCAGTGGCCGCCATCCCTCAAACCATTCAGACTACATTTGGCCTTGTGCTTTTGTCAGGCTTGTAAAACCCCTAGCGTTTGGGAGAGGAAGTTTTTCACGGGGGTGGTCTCCCTTTGGTTCCCATCCATTCCAACATTGTTTCAGAGCCACAAGGGAAGCAATGGGATCCTTACTGGCCCCTGCTAGTCAGGACTGGTCACTAGGAGCCACGACTAGGTTGCAACGGCGCTCCCCTTGCTATGGCTCTGATTCAGTCATGTTAACCCCGGATCCAAGTAGAACCCCTGGTTGATTTTTATTGGGGGGTGTCCCCTTTTAGTGGTTGGATTCAGACCACTTTTGGAGGAAACACCCTCCCTGGAACGGGTTTATTAATCCTGGGTCAACACTATATGACACATTGAGCTTCACTCCATTTGGATCGCAAGATCATCCAGGGCCTCCCCTGGCCGCTTGGATGCTGGGCCAAGGCCCTGACTCTGACTTTCCCCAGTGTCTCTGTGTGTGTGTGTGTGTTTTTTCTAGGGGGCGCCCCAAGAACATAGGTGTCCTTTTATGGCAAATAGATGGCCCGGGTGGATGATTAAACCACCTGGCAAACCAGGAATCGCCCTCTATTTTTCCACCAACACAACCAAAAAGGACACCTATGCCCAAGAATTCTTGGCTTTTCCTGTTGGTATCCCTTCAAAAACCACAAACAAACCTTGGTATCCCTTCAAAAACCACAAACAAACCTTGGTATCCCTTCAAAACCACAAAAAAACCTTGGTATCCCTTCAACACCAAACAAAAAAAAAAATACGGGGTACCCTCCACCAACCCCTCGAGCCATTTGCCCAGCGATGGCTCTGAGCCCTCCGGCTTCAGCTCCGGCAAGTCCAGGCTGAAGGTGACGCTGGGCCGCATGAACATGTGGTGCCGCAGCATGCCTGGCACTTGGCATCCGCATCCGCATCCGCCCGACGTGAGTCACTGTCACTGGCTCCAAAGCCATTTGTCACTTGTTTTTTTGGGAAATTGGCCTCATCCATATTGGTTGACCAGAATTTGCCACTGGCTCAAAGCCCTTTGGATGGATCTTTCAGGGGCCAAAAATCCCGGAACCCAATGAAAAAACCCGGGATATTAAGGGGCCGAAAATCCCAGAACCGTGCTTCAAGAATTGAGGCACTCGAAACTAAGGGGCCGTACTCCCAGAACCATGCTTCAAGAATTAAGAAGGCGGATATCCGCAACTATTTCTGGCTGGGACTGCCCCTTACTAACCTTCATCAACCGCGGTGAGAATGGGACGGACAGGGGACAGGATGAAATGGGATGGGATATGGGATGGAAGTGGGATGCGATGGGCTTGCTTTGCTGCAGTCGGCCAAAGAAACAAAACAGGCGCGAGCCTCTTAAAAAACACAAGTGGATCAGCCCTTGGAACCAGTTTTGCTTGTCTGTTTGCGTTGGATTTTTTTCCGACAACTGCCAAAAAAAACAACAAGCCCAAACAAACAAAAAAAGATCCCCTGGAACCAAGCCCGTCACGCCCACTTGGGGGCCCTCGAGCCTGGCATGCGGCAGAGGCATTTGGCTCTCTCGAAAGTGGCACCAGGTCCAGTAGACAGGCTAGAAGAAGGGCGCCCGGATTTTTTTTTCGGCTGTGGTCTATTTTAGTAGGGAACCCTCCAAACCAAAAAAGAAACTGCAAAAGAAACGGCACTACTCGCACCTTCCTTTGGCCATGAGCCAAGCCGGTGAATCTCACTCCCTGAGGTGCCTGTTTGACTTTCTCGTCACTCGGACATGTTTGGACCAGGTTGGTCCCAAACCCTTTTGTTTGGTCCAAAGACTTGTTTGGAGAAATCGTCCAAACTTCAGTCACTGGTGCATAAAGAGTTTGGACTTTGGCCAATCCACGAAGTGAGGAATCGCCCCAAGCCTTCGCATGTTGCCAAAGTTTCAATCTGCCGGCCCCCAGAAATGAGGATCTGACTGGAACAGAAACATGCTAAGAATGATGACCAACCCATGGCTTGTTGTTTTGTTTGCACTTCCCCCTCTTTGGCATTGGGCCGATATTTTTTCTCCATGCATTTTCGGGCACCGGGTTCCTTTCAATCTTGGTAGGGGCGCAATGCTCTTTGCAGGGCAGCCCGTGTTCTAAAGTGTCGACCCCTGTTCGTCGCCCCGCTGATTTTCGGTTGCATTTCCAACGGTCCAGTTCCTCTTTCAAGGGTACAATCTTTCGCTTAAAGGGACATCCATTTGGGGGCTCCCCGTTCTTGACACAAATTTGGGGCCCCCATATTTTCGGGGCTCCCTATGTTGAAAAAACCTCAAGGAAACCACAAATGGGCTTTTAATGGAAACCAAAGGGAGGCACACCCATTTGGCCCCTTTCCAAGAGACACCAAAAGGTGGTTATTTGAACAACACACACCCATATGCGCTCGCTAAAAAGGGGATTCATGGGAGACTACGTCGGTGTTCATGAAGAACCTAAACCTGCTGCCTGACAAAGCTTGCTGCAATAGGCAGGGAATGACCGAGTCCGGGTGTGGGGAATGAACCGTTTGGGGATTCCCGAAAAAGGAAGCCACTTCGGGGATGGGTTTTTCTCGGGGTCATTCCAACTCATTCCCTGTTGAGCACCAGCCAGACAAAGAACATTAAGGGGGTTTGGGAATGGATCTAAGGATCTGAAAAAAGACCCTCATTCTCTTCCTATTCGAGCCTGCGGAGTCTGTGTCGGTTTTTTTAGGTGGGCCGAAAAAGTGAGTTCTCCAGTTTGGTCCTCCGTCCCGAAGGGAAAGCGTGCCGCGCGGTACCGCCGGGCTCTATAATCGCGTTGAAAGGGTCCAGGTGCCTGGCAAGCGATGGTTGGGAGGGGGATCGAGGGTAAGTGTGCGCTTATCCTTCTGCCCCCAACAATCACATGTACATATACATGTGTATATATATATATATATATTATACATATATATATATATATATATATATATGTGTGTGTATATATATATATATATATATATATATATATGTATATCGCCTTGCATGCTTGTCCTTATAGACTCCATATATGGTGACCCAAGTTTAAGGGGCCTCTCTATTTGTACAATAACAAGATAGCTATGTGACCCCTGGGGAGGCCGTAAAGGTTCACGTCCACCAACCTATTTTGAGGCGGTTGTGGACCCGTGATCAGCTACCTGAACATCAGAAGGCCTCTCCGAAATGTATTTGCCAGCATGTGGGGGCCTGCGTCCTCAACAAGGTAGCGGGGGTCTGCCTCCACCCGCGCCTCTTCAAACCTTGTCATTTGAGGTTCTCCAAGTAGGGGTGCCCAAAATCCAAACGTGGCGTGCCCCGCCCCCCCTCGGCCCCATGCCAGAAATAGAAGAAGAAAACTCCGGCCCTCATTCGTCGGCTGGGGCGGAACTCGGACAGAAGTGGACAGTCCAAGCTTCCAATTGGAAAGGTACTTGGATGGTCTGGGAGGTAGATAAATGATGTCTAGTCCGACTCCTGCGGGTTGAATGAGGGGACAGCTATGGCTGGGGTTACTAACCGCTCAGCTAGCTCCAAGACCAACATCTGGATGACTTCCAAAATTCCCAAACGACCTTATGTGGGTAGGTGCAAAATAGGGCAGTTGAAAGCCCAACATGGTGTCCTTTTGGTGTCCGTTCAAGCCAAGGCGCAAAGAATACCGAGAAACTACCACATACGAAGAAGCCCTCAATCTAGGGGTTGATTCCATCGTTCTTTCCAACAACCGGCCGTTTTCGCTGGGTTTCCGGAGGTTTGCTAGAAAGAAGGATCCCTGGAAAGAATGGGGAAGGTACCGGTAGACTCAATGATATACCTTAAATTTAGCAGCCCTGGGTGGGCTCAAAACTGCAAATGTGTTTGGTGTGCTGTTTAGGGAAATCAAAACGAAAACCGTGTGTTAATGGGAAAGCAAAAGGACCACCATTTTGGGGGGGCCCGATCGGAATCCCAAAAAAGACGAGCCACCCAAGTAGGACGATTCCTTGCAAGGGTCCGGGCTTCCCAAACAAAACAGCAACCAAAAATCCAACCACAACCAGTGGCTTCCCTTTGGGCTTCCCTTTAAACCACTCCCAAAACCGGGGACAGAAGTTCTTTTCCTGGGTTCCGCTGTCCCACCCGAAAACCCCTAACCTGCTACCCGATCCTGGCCTGAAGCGGCACAAGGGGCACCAGAAGTTCTCCAGCGCGCGGGTATACTCCGCGGTCTGCAGGTCAAAGTCCTGGAAGCAGTACCTCACCAGGGCCATTTGGGGCCAAACGGAACGGACGGACAGACCACCGGACGAACAGGTTTCTTCTTTTCTTTTTTCTCTTTTTATGTGGCCATGGCAAAGAGACAGGGATGCCACTTGGCTGTGGGTCAAAAATAGGTACCCCAAATGGATCCCTGGTAAATGGAAAGCTGGACTAAAACCTGTGGTCCCCTGGTGATTTACATTTGACCCATACCCATTGCAACGGACGGACAGACCGCCGGACGAAGGGACCCTCCCTCCCACGTTGCACGGTAACAGCCGGAAGAATGTTAAAAAGGGAGGCCAACTAGACCGCGGGACGAACGGACCCGGACCCTCCCACACAGCGCCATGGCAGACAGAGGGCAGGAGAAATTCCTCGAAAACTAGATGGGTACGGGTCCAAATTGAAAATTTTACCAGGATAGGGACCACAGATTTAGTCCATGTGTCCATTTACCGGACGGACGGACCGAAAGGACACGGACCCGTACCCTCCCGCTAACGCCATGGCACCCCAGAGGGAGGAGGACATGGATCTTCCAGGTATCCCTCCCACAAAATGCTATGTTGGTGGGAGGAAGGGTAGCCCTTGAAACTAGATAGGAAAACCCATTGGATGTGTCTTTTCTTGATGGTTTGTTAGGCAGGGACTGAGAAATGGAATGTAGCCCATCGCCCATCGCCTATGGTTTCCTTTCGGGGAATCCGCTTCCGGTTCATTCCCAACGACCCCGGGTCATTCCCAGCAAGATTTTTAGGGTGCCCTCCAAATGTCAGAACGTGTTCTCCTGGTGTCCCTTTAAAAGACCACCCCAAGAACTGTCCGCGCATTTTGTGCAGAGGAGACATTGCCCCATCCGCAGCACAAAAGGCCGGTGGCAAGACTAGATCAACCACAAAGGTTCGGACAAGACACGCCCGCAAACGGACTCGCATCATAGAAACTAGATACCGGATTTGATTCCTACAGGAAATTGAGAATCAAAAGTCCCGCCACAAATTGTGTTTGTCTAAAGCCCGATGCTGACACATGTTCATATCAGATTCTGGCTCTAGAGTTTTCATTTGTGCGATTCTGGCTCGTGATTCTGAGCCGCAGGGGTAGCCATTGCAACCTAACAGTGTCTACCAGTAGGACACCTCCAGGCAAAGGCGAAGCCGCCAGCACCAAGCCGGACCTTTGCTTCCTTCCAAACATGCCGTGCATGGGTTTGCCCGAGTTCCGGCTCAGGGAACAGGTCAATTGGGAACTCAAGTTGCAGCAAACATGGCACAAGAAACAAAGGTTGAGGCCGCACCACCCAAGCGTTTATAGACCTGAATTCAAGTCCCTTCAGCCGGCAGGCCTCAGGCTGTCAATGGCAATCCCCAAATCCCCCGCTGCGAAGAGGGTCACCTCCCCAAGGCCCGGGTCGGCCGCTTCTGCAAGCTGCATTTCGCCAACCAAGACTGACATGGCTGTGGCTCAAAAAAGAGTGAACCCATGTTTGGGCCCCTTGGATGGAAACAAAAGATTCACACCTGCGCAACCCCGGCCCTGAAATTTTGAGCCACGCCCACATGGGCTTCCATGGTTTTGAGGGTTGGTGTCAAAGGAAACCAGCAGGAAAACGGGTGCGCCATTTGTGGGGCCCGCCTATCTGAAGACTTACCCACATCTTCTTTCCGATGGCTCGTTCCCTTCCAAAATTGCCAAACTCCAAAAGTGTCAAAGTTGAGCATGGGAACCATCACGAGGGTGGCTCTTAAATTCAAAGAACCCTTCCTAAGGTCAAAAATTCCAGGGGTGACTGCATTTCCCCTTATCATCAACTACTTGTGGTTTGCTCTACGATCGCCACTTTAGGTCCTATACAAATGGTGGGAAACTCGAGGAAGCCCCCGGGTTACCCGCGGGTTGGGCTGAGACGAATCGGCGCCGTACAGGCATCGCCACTCCGGCGTCGCCGCCGGAAAAAGTCGCGCGCAAAGGGCGTGAGAAGCGGACATGCCGACTGGTCGCTCGCTCGTGGCTTCTTTTGGTGGCCTGGCGGGCTGGCGTGCACCAGAGATGTCCAGTTGCGCTCCACCAGGGAAGAACTTAGATTTTCATCTGCACAAAGAAGAAGTTTAGACTCTGGAACATGGATTTGTCTCCAATCAGGGTAACCAAAGCGGCCCACCCAAGCGAAACATCAGGACCGGGAACAAAAACAGGATTTGCGTACCCCGCCCACCACCGAAATCCTAGATGAAACATGAAGGCAACCGAATTCGTCCCCGAACTCCGACTCCGGGAGGGCACGTGCACTTGAGCAGTCGCGCCGCCAGCATGCCTATGTGCCCGATCTCGCTCTCCTTGGAGAAGGGCCCGGTGCCCAGTTTGTTCCTGGCGAATTCGAATTGGCGGGTGCCAAAGTCCCCTGAAAGCGGCAGAAGGACATTGGAAACACAGGGAACCCGTAAAACTCATGGACTGCCACACAACTTATGGAAGGTGGAAAGGATAGGTGTTGTGGATACACCAATACCAAGGAGCTTGCAAAGGTTTATACGGGCCATGAGCTTTGCTTCTACCAAACGTGACAGCAGCGTCTGCAAACATGAATAAAGCTCTTGACTTTGCGGTTAGATTCACTGTTGCTTCCATCAACCTGGTTCTAAAGGTCTACATGGGCCTTACTACCCAGCTGAACCCGGCTTGTTCCTTTCCTGCCTCGCGAGTCAGCGAGCGAGCGCGTTGAATTGGGCGAAAAAATGAGCCGTGGTCAGTATTTAGTATTTACCTTGTCCCCGAAATAGAGCTTTCAGTCCGGGTCAGTGAGAAGATAGGGGGACACACAGGTCATGTTAGCCTGTCCGAATTCATCCAAGGTTGACATTAATAATTTCAATGAGCTCAAACCATCTGCCCAATTGAATAGCAGGGTGGGTCCGAGTCTCCTCAAAAAACAGGACGCCCCCTAGGTGTCATCCAGGTGTTTTCATCCTGTGCGAAATATCCGTGGCTTGTCGGTTTTAAAGTAAAACCCTCAAAAGAATCAAAGAAACTGTTTTTCGGGGTCTGGGGTACAAGGGGAGGGCTGCAACAAAAAAGATCATCCATCCATTGCCCGTGTCTTTTTCTTGAAAGGGGAATGAGAGCTGCTGTGGAATGTGAGGCGCGTCGTTCGTGGCGTGCCAAGATCGGAGGACCCCATATGCAGGAGGAGGAGGAGGAGGAGGAGGAGCAGGAGAGCTGAACATACCACGAGGACCAACATCAAAACTGCCACTGCTCATCTGACAGTTCTAGGGGGTGATTCCCCATTCTGTTCAACCATCGTTCTTTCCAAAACCCCGATCCGTTTTCCCTTGGTTTCCAGAGGTTTTCTAGAAAGATCCGGATCCCTAGAAAGAATGGAATTGGAAGGTACCCCTAGAACAGTGTGTCCAAACCATTTGCGCGCGTTTGCTCCCCCAAAAGCAGTTGCGCCACAGTCCCCTGTTCTGGGGAGCCAAAGGTCTTCTTCTGCAACTGCCCAGTGGACAAAGCCAAAAGTGTGTGTCTTTTTTAGGAGTCCCCCAGAGGTGGTGGTGTTAAACTTTTGGCTCCCCTTCAAATAAGCCATCCCAAAACAGGGGGTATTGAAGCCGGGCTTCTAACCACCTACCAAAATGCCCCGATTTTTTTTGGGGGCGCTCAAATGGAAGCGTCACCCCCGCCGCAAACTTGGGCTAGCCCCAAACTGGAGCTTTCCACACCCCCCGCAAACCCTGTAACTTGGGCGAGGACCGCAAAGTGGAGGGCTCCGACTTGGGTTTGTTGGGGGGGATCGTTAAAAAAACAAAGGAATTGGTGGCGATTCTTGTTTTCAGAACACGGCTGCTTCTCCCATTCGGAGTTTTTCTCAAATCGGAAAATGGTCCCAAGGGAAAGCCCTGAAGGGCAAAACCAGAGGGAAAAGGGAAAACCATGTCAAAGGGAACAGTTTGGACGGGGGAAACCACGAGGAAACCAGCCGACCTGAAGCGGCTCTTCATGTTGCGAAACGCCCTTATGTAGGTGGAAAAACCACGCTGAGCACGAACCTCCCCCTTATCCTCTCAAGGAGCCAGACTCTATTCCACTTCACTTAGTCGGTGGTTGTTTGAGGGTCGTTTGACGGTTGTTCGTATGCCTGGGACACTCCAAGGACTAACGATTGAGAAGGAAATTGTCATTTCATCCCAACCCACAAAAGCGGCGCGTCTTTTTGTAACTGACCTGTCGCTTTCGGCGAAGACCGAAATCAGCATCACCCATCGGTGATCTGAGGAAGGCAACGTGCAGGCCCGCTGATCTCCGCATCAGGAAGGCTGGAGTTTGTCAGATCGCTCGAGTCATAATCAAACAGGGTTCCACTTTTTGACTACCCCAAGATAGACTTAAACCCAGGGGTGGTTCATTCCCCCCAAAAGGAGTATCCCTGGGTTTAAGTCTATCTTGGGGTAGTCAAAAAGTGTAATCAAAACCTGGTATGAACATGGTTTACCCAAACTCAAGTAAATCAAGAGGGCGGATTCCTGCGCCCATTTGAGTCACAATCAAAACCTGGTACCAAAATGGTGAACCCAGAACCATGTCTCAAGAATTAAGAAGGCGGCCGCAACTATTTCCGGCCACCATTCCAGGTTGAGTAGAGGGAGCCATACAATCCTCCACCAAGAATCGGGCCAAAACACAGTATCACCACCCTCTGTTTTACTACATGCTTTTGAGGAACAACAAAGAGTTTTATCAGTTTCGCAGATGTTCGAATTGGGTGAGCGGGGTTTCAAGTTCTAGAGCATTGGAGGCCATTCATTGACGTGAAAGGCGGGCTGAATCAGAGGAAGCACCTGTCAAGTCATCCAAGAAACCGGACCCGCGCGGAACGCGTCTGGGAATGCACTTTCATTGCGTTCAATACGATCGAAGCCTGGGTGAGTGAAGGTCAAGGGACGGTTTGAACTAGAAATGAGCCACAATCAAAACCCGGATAGATGAAGGTTAGCAAGGGCTGGTTCTCCTTTGATTTCCTGTGGAACAACCCAAAATGGGAAGGGGGTGCCCAAAAAACAGAGGAGCCCACACCCAAACAAAGCCAACTAGAACCAAGAATCTTCTCCTTTGCTCCCTGATGCGACCGGAAAGGCCGCGCTTGCGGCTGGCATTCAAACCGAAAAGCCTTCCGAGGCTGTGACACCCGCGCGCGTTTGATTTCCCACAAAACACTTAAGTCATGTATCCTTTAGACAACGGGACAAAATTATGGTTGTTGGGAAACATTTTGAATTTTTGCTTATTGTGGTTTAGTGGGAAAATCCAACTGAACTGCGATAATTTTAATTGTTGCTCCCATTCCAACGTCCACCAAGCGAATGTCCATCACAAAATGGGGCCGTAACTCCGGTTGTTAAGAGAAATGGAGAGTGGACCGAAGAGAGCTGAGTTGTTCCGTTGACCCCAAAAAGAGGAGCAGAAATGAATTGGTTTTGGTTACAAGCAACTCTAATAAATACCTGCAACTATAACGACGTGCCGTTGTCGCAGGTACACGTGTCTCTTGGAAGGTTGCGCCAAAAGCTGTTCTTCTCTCGGGCTCTCCATCTGCCGCCAGCCTCTACAGCTCCACCTTGGGGTGACTGCCACCTTGGACCATGTGTCCACGGGTAGCTCTGTGCGGCTCCTAATTGGAGGCGAAAAAACGTTTGTCGATGCGTCGCGCGGAAGGCATGCCGCCCAGGTATGCGAGGGAGTTGCTCCCAGTGGATTTGGGCCTCCTTTTGGCTGGCATCCAGTGGGAAACCAAAATGAAGCCAAGCATGGGGCCCAGCATTTTGAACTCATCTTTGCACGCCCAAATTCAGGGGTACAAGTTCAAAACACATGCCCACAACAAAAGGCAAAACTAGGTCCTCCAGTAGAGAGCTTGGAATAAGTTGGTACCAACTTATTTCTGTAGTCCATTTTTAGTAGGGGAACCCCTACTAACCCCAAAAAGAAACTTTTAAAAGAAACGGCACCCTTTCGCTGGGGGATCCAACCGGCTGTCTCTTGCCTTCCAAGCTCGCACCTCGACCTCCGGGCAAATCTCACACCCAGACGGCCGCCTGAGGCGACCTGAAGAGTCACTCAGACCGGAAGAGGGTCTGGGCGGCTGTCCGTTTTCAAATCTGCCAAAAGTGACTCACTTTCAGTGGGTGAAATGAAGAACCCCCCACTAAAACAACTAAAATCTTGGGATGGCTGGGAACCACGGGTGCGTTCCCTGGAATATCTGCTACTAGTCCAATATATATATATATATATATACATATATATGTATATGTATAGACAATGTTGTTTGCAACTCCTATAACTTTGCACCTCGCGGTGTTGCAGCTATGGGCCAGGGCATGCATCCTATTTAGGGAAGGTTTTGGTGAACACCAACCATCCCTATCAAAAATCATGTCTGAAAGCTAAATCGGCTTGGTGCGCTTCGATTAGTTGAGGAGAGGAGTAGCAAAAATGGCATCAACGTAGTGCTTCTCGCCTAAATGATCTTCTGAAAGTTTCAGATTCGCAAAGAACATAAAGAAAGTCGAATTGATCTTGCTCAAGTTTGAAATGTACGTCCATGGTTGAGGTGGTGTAAGAGGGAATCTAAAGTTCAGAAAGCAGGACAGTGAACAATTGCCCCGTGCCAAAAAATGAAAGGTTAAAGATTCAACCAAAGAGCAGCCAAGCTTCTTCTCTTTTTGCCACAGATTGTGTGTGTGTGTGTTTCCCCACTTCACCTTGGGGATATTGGATTGGGGGAGGGGAGGGGGGAAGTGGAAAGCATCCTTTGAGCAGGAACCCGTATGTCCATCCCTGCCCCCGAGTAAGCAGGTCTTTTGAGCACACAACCCCGGCCCGCCCCCTTCGCCCGCAAGCTGGCCTGTTCTTGGGCTTCCGCAGGCTGTCGGTATAGATCCACTCGAGCGCTCGAGCAGGGGACAGCAGCTTGCAGTAGTGGTTCCCGGCGCCGTAGGCGGGGCCGCTCAGGGGATAGAAGGCGTACCTTGCGAAGAAGGGGCGAACGGGCGATGGCGGCAGATCGCGCGAAACCCCAAACAACTTTGAGAGGACTCTCCGTGGGACCCGCTTTTCCGGGGTCCATGTTAGTTTGTAGGGGAGGGCAAAGGCAGGGAAGTGGGACTTTTGTTTTAGGATCTGGGGATTTGGGGAGTCGGGAAGTGGAGTTGGGGAGTTGCTTCTCGGATTTCCTTGCAAGCTACTCTTGGGGGACCCCACAATGGCCAGTTCCCTGTGATGTTCATTCAAACAACCAACAAACAGGTATAGATGGTTTTACCAGCGAAGCCCAGGCACGCCGCAAATGTGGGCAAACAGCAATCCTC